TACTCCGCATATGAATTATATTAAACGAATTGCTGATGTTACAGATTGAGCCGGATTATTTTCAGGGGATAATATGTAATAACCAGAGCATTAACAATGTCAGGTATGTTGTTACAATACTGTGAATGATCTTCAGGTGCAAATACGATTAAAGAATTGTTGATGAGTATTGCTGATCAGACAGATTTTGATACAATTTCATAGTGGTTACAGAATATGGCCTGAAGAAGGATCTAGATCGATCTGAAACGTCGGGGTTTTTCCTCATTCAAATTTATATGCAGAGTAAATTTTCTGAAGATTTTGGTGATGAACAACCATCTATCCACATAAAGAACTCAGGAAACCTCTTTAAAACCGTCTGTAACGTAGCAAAAGTCGTCACCGGGGCATCCATCGCCGGTTTATATAAACGTTTATAAATCCTTGCAGTGTTTCTACAGGTGGCATTCACCTGTTATTTTACAAGTCTTGGAAGAAAACGAGGAAGGAACGACCACCCGTAACGACGTTGCATATTAAGATAGGGCGAACCACCTACGAAGTAGATCAGCCAAGCTGTCGATTCCACCCGTTCTGAAGGTGAGCCAAAATGGTGCGAAGATCGTTGGTTGGTTTAAAAGAAATAAACAAGGCGTTTTGGGATATGGTCATGGTGAAGAGTAGAATTATACTACAGTAAGAACAGTAGTAAGTCCCAAAACAGTAGAAATTAGACTACAGTAAGAGCAGTAGTAAGTCCCAGAACTTTATTAGTGCCAATGACATGAAGCCTTCGCATGTATTGTTCCAGAGCTCATATACGAACAAGGATTTAAGTCTCTGTTGCAAGACATACCTGAGAAATAACACCCTGTATAAATTGGAATCCGAGAGCTGAATGACGCCAGCATCACAACACGGTTGAAAATGAACGTGAAGAAGACTCAGACCGTCTTTGACTAATATGTGACCTGTTGACACATAACACACGACCTGTTGAAATCAAGGGACTTAAGCTTGAAGTAGTGCAAAAACTATGTCCATCTGAGACATCTCATCTCTGTAACATCAAACCAACTTTGTAAAATCACGAGAAGAGTAAAATGGCATGAAACATATTTGGAAAATTGAAAACATTTTTATCCGAGAAACTGCTGAGGATCTGGTGATTGAAATGGAAAGTTTTCGATCAGTGCGTGGCGGATGCGAAATATGGACTTTGACAGTCTATAAGCTGTTCAAAAATTACAGACTAGTCAACGGATCACCAAAAAGTTCTGCTCAGAATAACAAAGAAAAAACTGGAAGACAAACGATTCGGTAAAAGTACAAACAGACGTCTGCCGTGCCACGCTCGAGTGAAGAAACTTAACCGGCAATGAACCAGTACACTTTGGAAGAACCTACCATTACTGGAACAGAGAGACATTAAACTGCATTCGAAGAGAGACTTCCAGATCGATGGGAAGATGAAACGACAAGATTAACTGAATGACGTTGAATAAAAATTACTGATAAGAAAAGTATATATCACAAAGTCTGGAGAGGCCTTCATCCAGCGGCAGATAGAAAAAAGCCGATGATGGTGATTAAATATGTAATGGTATAACGTAGCAGTGTTAATGCTGTCTGCTTAACGAGAAACTGTGGTCAGATCGGTGACTGATCAGTACCCACGTCTCCTATCTGAAGGTAGCAGTACGGTCACTTACGCCGTTAGACTTATTTACTAACATGCCTGTTAACCTGACTATTAAAATAATTGGTGAACTTCTTCAAGAAGATAACTCACTTAAAGACCGCACTAACC